GAGCTCAGTCCTCCTGCTTCAAGGCCTCCCGTAATCATATGTATGATTCTAGCCGGTGGTGGAAGCGGAGGTGGTGCTTGTTGATATCCCACGCCTTGTCTATTCGGGGGATTGCGGACTCCTTGAGGTTGCGGCCTCTGCTCTCTGACAAACCGTGGCTGTTCAGTTCTTTGCACATACTCATTCAGCATTCCCTTCTGAGCTAAACTTTCCAGTTCGAACTTTAAGCTATTGCACTGCTCTGTAGTATGGCCGTGGTCTTGGTGAAAATCACAGTATTTAGTGTGGTCTCGACTAGCAGCAGCAGTTCGCATTGGGCCAGGACGTCTCAAGTCCATTTTGTTCTTAATCTGCATAAAAATTTATGACCTCGGCAGATTAAAGGGAGTCCAATTAACTGGAGGTTTACCTGCAGATTGCTGCGGGGGAGTTGAGTTCGTCCTTCCGAATCTCGGCGGGGAGGCCAACATCGGACCTCGGTTCTGTGCCATCCTCATCCTTTTTCGACTCGGATTGTCATCTCTCCACTCTGGGTTCTGGTTCTTAGAGGGGGGTGGGTTCTGCGCTAGGGCATACTCCTCAGCAGTTATAAACTTGAGAGACCGATCATTCACCTCGCTAAAGGTGGTGGCAGCATGTTTAATTAAACTGTCTCTGAACCTGTCATGCTTGAGACCAGCGATCACAGCGGCAATTCCCACAGCTTGATCAAAAGAATTAACTTCCAAAACTGCATCATTAAACCTGCTCATATAGTTCTTCAGAGATTCTCCATCCCTCTGTTTAACTCTCATCAACTCAGAAGTAGTTTTCCTAATCAACCTTCTACTGGAAAACTTAGTGGCAAAGGCAGATGCCATTTCTGTATACGAGCTAATTGACCTCGGAGGTAAACTGTAATACCAAGTTCGGGCATTACCTCGGAAAGTAGAGGGGAAAATCTTGCACATCAACGCGTCAGAGGCGTTTTGAGCTTGCATGCAGGAATAGAAAGCGTGCAGATGGTCATCGGGATCCTTCGTCCCGTCATAAGTCTCCAGTTGTGGTATCTTGAAGCCAGAAGGATAGGGTTCCAGAGTAATGTTGGTATTCAGTGGGTGAGGTATAGAATCAGCAGCATGGTGTGGGGGTGGAGCACCTCGGTGTTCAGCTACTAGTTTTTCCAAGCTATCAAGGCGACGAGTAACATCATCAGGGATAGGTTGTTGAGCGGGTGCAATGTGGGATTGAGCCTGAGACTCGCTAATAGCAGGAGTGGGTTGAACCGGTTGAGGGTTCTGTTGTGGAGCTGGGGGTTGTTG